CGGCAACACTTGAACTTAAAAGCAGTCGAGGGACAGGTTCGAAGGAATGATTTAATTTTAATGTCAAGACACTAGACAGTTAGCCAGAGATTTACTTCACCTTCCCTTATTTATCTGCTAGAATTGTTTCCTGTTAGTAACTTGTTGGCGGGAGAATTAGCACTTTAAAAAAAACACAACTCTCCTAGGTCTCTGTAATTTGAAAAAAAAAATTGTATAATTATAGCATATCATAAATCCGCACTGTAATTGTTGCCTAGGACAGAACACCTATGCAACCAGGTAAAATGAAACTTCTCATCACTGTTACAGAGCCAGCTGTTTCTCCATAAAACTGAGACTCTCTCTCAGGCGTTGAGTTCTTGAAGGATATCGCCACTGTCATTTATATGTCCAGGAAAGAGCTGAAGTGTACGGGAAACCAAAGGGGCAACAGCGGGAACCACGGAGTTTAGTTGGAACTCTCAGTGGGCCCCTGGCAGAGTTGCTTATATTCCCGCACTTGCTTCCATGGTATTTTTGGCTCTGAGATCAGATAATCTCCATCTTCCCTCAGCTAAAGGAGGCTTGCCTCTTCCGAAGACTAGTATTAAAGTGAGCCCACCTCTGTTGATCTTAAGTTGTTATTTTAAGGAAGTAACTTGATCCTTCAAAATAATGGCTTGCAGTTGAGTTCACCCTATAATATGTTCAGAAAACAAAGAAGTGTGAAATATGGCATGTACTCCTGTGCACTCCTGTGTGATGGAAAAGGGGTAATGAATACTTTGTATATAACAGGTGACCTCTGTGACTCTCTTTGGGGGCCAGAATGGGAAGTCAGCACTGTCTACTGCAGCATTGAACACAAGGCAGGAGTGGTGGTGGTTTGCCATGACTCTGCCAATGACTGTCCTTGGTACCTTCAGTCTCTCATCTCTTAATATGATACTTTCCTCCAGTGTCACCTAAATATGATGTATATGAAAGAAAAAGCACTTATAAAAGCACTTATTGGAGGGGCCTGCCATTCTTTTTTTTTTAATGTCCTTTTTTCCTTCTGTCTCTCTAACTTTTCATTCCTACATGATCACACTTCTCTTCAGAAGAGTGTTGAAATGGTCTCTGACATGAATTGACTAGTTATATGTTAAGCAGCATGTAACAATTTCTTGAATGAACTTCAGAGATACTTAAAATATAATAATTAGCCAGCTCACTGGAGACCTCTTGCTTCAAGCTTCTTTTAGATACTGTGTTATACAGCTTTAGCCCTAATATAAACCTGCTCTTCTAAGCCCTAGGCTAGCTATTAATTTTTGTATAAAGGTTACATTTTTGTATTGAATATAACAACTATTTAGACTTATTTTAATTAGAGGTAATGCTTCAAATTAAATATTGTCTTCCCATTTTAAGCTAAGAAAACTTGGCTAAGTTTTGAAAGTTTAAATGCAAATTAAATGTACATATGGAATACCAGAAGGGGAATTCATAGAACGAAACACCCTATAAATGGCGTGACAACTCACTCCCTGTCATCATGTGTCTTCTCTCAGTGTGCCAGTTTCCATCATCCATTAGAACCGCTGGCCCTTTTTAGTTGCATCTTCGCTAGAAAAATGGCAAGGGAAGCAAGAATAAATTAAATTCTAATTACTCCATTTGCTAGTTGTAGAGAGCTCCGTGGGAAAAGGCCCTCTAATTCATAGTTAAAGTGAAGTGTAAGACTTTTCTTTGACTTCCATTTACTCCCCTTTCTCTTCCCCTTCCCACTTACCATAATCAGGCAGCTAGCATAATACTTACAACATGAATCTGCAAACTAAGAATTTTAGGATTACTTATCGTGTTTTATTTTCCTGGCAAGATATGTCTGTCCTATAGCACTATTTCCATTCTCTGAAATTCTCAGGTTCTAGTCACATTATGAACCCATTCCTTAATAAATATTTCGTTGACTAGATATTTATTTATGGATGGTTGGTTGGTGTTAATTATCTGTGGTGAAACTATTTGCACTACAGTGTTTTAAAATGCCATTGGAAACTTGAAATTTATCTCCTTATTTCTAGATACTAACATTGTGTCCGACTATCTTTGTTCATTCCTCTTGAAAGAGAAAGACTAGTGCTGTTTCTTATGTGATAAAAACTATCTCTGACTTGTCATGTTACTTCATGTGACATTATTCTAGAATGACCATGTACAGTAATCTGTTGAAGATGTTGCTAGATAAATACATTGAATGATTTCACTTTTGGGATTGTGGCTTTTGTTCTTTTGGTGAGTCTCATGCTTATATGAACGACCTTAAACATATCTATATATCTCAAGAGCTCTGTGCTTGCTGGTTTTATTTCCAATCTGATGTTGAATGACAAATTATAGCAACATTTTGGGGGTAGTAGTGTCTGTGTGGGATTACATATGTGGGGTAAAAAAAATGAGGTGTATCAGGGATTCTGTACAAATAGAAAGGTTTTTCTTAATTGTGCCAAGATTATCACAAGAGTGAGTGTTTTCACTGTTTCTCAAGAGTCCCAAATTCTTTAACCTTAATTGTTAGATAATATCTGAATCATAAGAAAGCATTTCAAACTTCAAGATTAGGATCCAGTGCTGTCTTGAGGCTGTATAAAAATATTAATCTAGAGTATAGGTAACGTAGAATTTATAATAAATTATGTGATAACTCAGATTATACTTCTTCCACATGTCTAGACTTCCCCTAATGTATTTCTGTTCCTTCAGCCTGTTTCAGCTATATGAGTCCTGAGGATGTTCACCACACTGTGGGGAATGTAAAATGAATGCAGCACAGTATAGTGAGAGTGAGACGGGTATACCATTAACTAAAAGATAAGACATAGGAGTAGTATCCAGAAAATAAAATGTGGGCTCCCCAGGACAAAAGCATTCTAGTTGAGATGCGGGGTAAAAGAAAGTAAAAATGCGTCATGCGAGAGGGTCACGGGCTGTAGACACTGGAAGACAGGCAGGTGTTTTTGTAGGCATGGCAGGAAGGACGAGTGGAGGTGGGAAAGCGTGCCGAGTGTGGGAAGTCAGTTTGGACCGAATATGGGCATCAGCAGTGAGCGTGACAGGCAAAACTAGGGCATTGTAGATTGAAAACAATTATGGAGCGTCTTATGTTCTACACAAAGCTGTCTTTACTTTGGTGGACAGGAAAGCGCGTTCAAAGTTTTTCTGACAGGAGTGCTTGAATCGGAATATTTCAGTTGATGGCATGTTCAGTGGAACTGTGGTGGGCTCAGGACTGTGAGCGAGGAGGGCAGAAGCAAGCGATCCTTAGTTGAGCGTCAAAGAGGCCTGAACGAGTGAGATTCAGTGTGAGCTGCTTCAGTCACCGTTATCCATCTGTGCATTTGAAGAACTAGCTTTCTATTTGCAAGCAAGCCTGTCAGGTTTCCAGAAAAAATAAAATATTTATTTTTAACTCAAAAAAGTGTTACTTATTGCACTCCCTCAGGTAGTGGCAGCTAAAATAATTTTCAGTTTAATGAAATGGGTACAGTGGGAACATGGAATTCAGAATGAAATGATGTTAAATGTTTTCATTCCACCATCACCAGGTAACATAACCAAGCACTTCAGATGAACAGAAATATGAACATCACCTTAGTACCTGCATTATTTAGGTCTTTTGCTGTTTGTACATATGTGTAACCTCAGCCTATCAAATAGGAAAAACTACGAAGAATTACTTGTTTTGTATAAGTGTATTTTGTATACAACACCAGCCATTAAATAAATTGTGGTTTGCTGAGAGAATTTCAGTAAACTCATGCGTTTCTTCCAGCTGTACTGAGGGAAAGCCATTTCATTGCTTAATGCCTCCATTAATGTCATCGAAGGCAATCAGCAGTCAGCTTTCATTCCAGCCCTCCTGTGTGTAAAGCACTGAAGGAATGTCCTATAAAATGAGGAAGTCAGAGAGGCTTTGTGCTGAGACTCAGTGTGGCCTGAATGCTCTTCCACAAAACATAGCTACACAGAACATGAGCAGAATATCAGTACATGCCAGGAACCAAGTGAGTGATTCAGAAAAGACACACTGTGGCACTGCAGACGCAGGAGGAGTCCTTGAGTTACTGCGTGTTAATGACAGTGTGTCTAAAGCAGTGGAGGAGAGGGCCGCTAGCATCTTAAAGCATATTAATAGATTGTGTCACAAAATTAGGGCAAGTCCCTTAACTTTCTTAGGTTCTTGCGTTCCTAGAATGTAAACTACATCATCAACTGTGCTTCACGGTTTTACTGATGATAGACATGCTTGCCTGTGTGACTCATTGAAATTTAATGGTAGTACCCCCAAAATGTCATGCATGCTCTATTATTAATATAAATATTCTTTCATTTACCTAATGTGTAAATGAAAGCATTTTTAATATAATTGTTTGCATATATTGATATTTCTTTTCATATATGTTCACAGTGTTCTGATTATAAAATTACGATTGGCTGATTGTTAGATTACAGCCAATGTAACTGAAACTAATACTTCCACATCTCCCTTTTATAACTGCTGGAATTTTATTAGGTATCAACAATACATTAGCTACTTTCTCCTAATAAAATGAATTATTCCATGTAAAATCCATACTACATTTTCCAGAGTGAAAGTTTAAGTGTGACAGAAATATCAGGGAGATTGGATTGCAAAAGTCTTACATTGTACTGATCCTGGCAACATGCACAGACTCCAGTTAATAATGACTTTTGCCCTGGCCAGTGTGGCTCAGTTCGCTGACCATCATCCCATGCACCAAGAGCTCATAGGTTCGATTCCTGGGCAGGGCACATGCCCTGGTTGCTGGTTCAATCCCCAGTAGGAGGTGTGCAGAAGGCAGCCAATCAGTGTTTCTCATGTGGATGTTTCCCTCTCTCTTTTTCTCTCTCTTGCCTCCCACCTCTCTCTCTAAAGTAAATAAAAACCTGTTGTTTTTTTCCAAAAAAAAGAATGACTTTAAATGCTCATTATCACAATAAGCATTTGTGGTTTGATACATGTATTTGTTAGTTACAAAGCATTTTTTATGGTAAAGGTTTTTAATGAACTTTGCAATGATTAGTATGTACTTAGACATTTTTCTCTCTCTAGCAAAGTTCAAAGAGTGCCTTGTTCTGTTATTTGGTCCATAGTCAGTAGTCTATGATAACATTATTTAAAGATATATTTTGTCATAGCATAACTATAGTACATTGAATCTAATGAGAGCAGATATGTAAAAGGGAAAGTGGAACTATAGTACAGGGCCTAGTTTTTATTTTCATTTTAATTATTATTTTAAAATATATTTTTATTGATTTCAGAGAGAGGAAGGGAGGGGGGAGAGAGAAGCATCAATGAGAGAGAGTCATTTATTGGCTGCCTCCAGCACGCCCCCTACTGGGGATCGAGCCCGCAACCCGGGCATGTGCCCTGACTGGGAAGTGAACTGCTATCTCCTGGATCCTAGGTGGATGCTCAACTGCTGAGCCACTCTGGCTGGGCCAGGGCCTAGTTTTTAGAGTGAAACTTTAATGCTATAAAATTTAGATTGTATAGCTTTGAAATGCAAATACTGATAGATTTCAAATGTATTCCTTAAACATGTTCCCTATTTTAAGGTGACAGAGAAGGATATGTATGGCCTTCTCAATTTTCCATTCTAAAGCTTCACCATCCCTTTAGAAATATGAAGGGGGCAAAAAGAAATCGGTAGTCATCGATTGATGACCTAGGACTGTTCAAGTTATATTACATTCTTTCTGCACCCACACCCACCTGCACCTTCAAGTATTAAGAGTTTGGGAAAGAGGCCAATGATAAAACACTAAAACTTGCTTAAAGATCTTAAAATATGTTTAGGCTTGTCTTGTGAGTGTCTTTGCAAAGTTTTCTCTCTCTTTTTATGTGACTTTAATTTCAAGTTGTTGGATTAGTAAACAGAAGTTGTCCAGACAGTTCCTGTAATATAACTGAGCATCCTGGAAACCAGAATTTCCAAATTCTGAGTAACTAAACAGTGATTGACTGTGGTACCTTAGGAGCAAGGTAACAATTTTTGTGTCGTTTACACACGGAAATCTATGTATAAATTTGCCTGCACTTTGAAAGCCAGAATAGGTCTCTAGTTACCAGTAGTGCTGAAGTTTGAAAGAACAGAGGCATTTCTGATCATACGCATGTAGTGTGTTATCAAGACGTTTACAGATGTTGTTAACCCTGAGAAATATAACTGAGAACACTTACTTGGGGGGAACTGAAAGAAGAATTGCACCAGTGCTGCTGTTTTCTTTACTGAACCCTTACAGAGACTCTACCTTTTCAGTAAAAACTGATCATGTTTGGGGAATTTTACTCTTTATTTACCTACCTCCCTATTGCTGATTTATAGAAATAACAGCATTCCTTCTCCTATGCTTAAGAATCATGCCGTAGTGGATTTCTTTCATATAACTTGGTGCTACTTTGGGGTGGCAATGTGAACTATCACCATGGTGCTATTAACTCTTATGTAAATTACATATTTCACTTGTTTAAATAAACTGAAATTATCTATTCTTTTCAAAATTACACATTTTCTAAAGCTGTTACTGTTTTAAGGCCCTCCAGAAGTTAAGTTCTGCACTAACCGTTCGCTTTCCTTTCAGGTCTTTTCCAACGGCCACCTGGGAAGTGAAGAGTATGATGTCCCCCCTCGGCTCTCCCCCCCTCCGCCAGCTGCCGCCCTCCTCCCTAGCATCAAGTGAGTCGTATTGAATGTGGAGGCCTTTTGCCCGTGCGTAAAGATATCGTCAGTTCTGGTTCGATGTTCTCAGCACAGGACGTGTAGGGTGAATACAAATGCATCACTGGAAATGGTCCAGCTGGGTTTAGAAACTGACGTGCCAGGAATCAGGGACCTTCCTGGTTCCGTGCTGGTAGCCGCGGCATCTTCGAGCCCTAACCTAGGCTGAGATTCCACACACAGCGGGGAGAGAGCTGTCTTCCCTGCATCCGAGAGAGGCAGAGTAGCGCACAGCAAGCAAGCTCTCCCTTCCGTATCGCGCTCTTCCTCCGAGATCCCACATTTTCCCCAGCTACCCAGTTTGATGGCATAAAATGATCTTTGGTTCTTCCAAATTTTATCATTTCCCAGATCCATTCAGCCATTCAGTCCTGGTGTTCTTTTGAAGTTTCTCATATTTAGCTGATCTTCCCTGTTGCCCTAGCTTAACCTCATCGCTGGACAAGCCTTTACCTGATCATACAGTATCTCAGAATCAATATCAATAGATTTTAAAACTAGAAAAATGAGTTAACCCAGGTGTCTCATTTGAAATATGGGAACACAAGAGGCACAGTGGACAGTTACATATATCTACCCAATCAAACCAGGATAAAACTGAGTCTCCTGATTGCCATTTTCCTACTCTTTATTAAATCAGGCTGCTTGCCTTTTCTCCAATATTTTTTGTACTCACAGCTGATTTTATTTAAATTCTGCTTTCCCGAGATCACTTTCCTATTGAAAACCTAGCATTGTTCTTTCTTTCCTTCTAAATTATTCTATGGTCTTCTGCTAGCAGTAAGATGTACGGAGTTTTACACAACTAAATATTGTTCAATAATTCCCAGTGCGTGCCTCTAACCTTGTCTTGATCTTTTCCTGGCTTTGCGAGTTTTCACTCTGTTCCCTCCTATGCACGACTTTTTCAGAATCTTATTCTAAAAGCCTGTGTCTCAGGCTCTGTTTCTTTATGAAAGTTCTCGTGACTTCTTCAGGCATGGTACTAGTAAAACCGATTCTCATTCCTCTTCCTACAGTTTATTTTCTTCACATTTAATTATATACCCTGCTCTACTCTTTTCTAATTTTAAAAAGATTATAAGGTTCTGAAGGCAAAAACCTATTTTTGCATTCTCTGATTCGCCCATAACACCTACTGTTTTTGCTGTATAGCAAGTACCGAGAATACCTTGTTGCTTGGTCGATTGACTTTATTATCTGCTAAGATTCTCATTTCTAAGTGAAACTTTGAGAGCATCTGTACTCCTTTCTCTGCTGGTCACTGAACTCCCACTGTACATGAATGCAAAAGAAAGATAAGCTGGATACCAGCGCCCCAAAAGTTTACAATCTACTTTAAAATGAAGTTGACATACATTAAATCACAGGAGAGCATTATGCACTAAATTGTACAACTCTTCACTTTTTAGTTTTTATAAAAGCTTTGGGGAGAGGCTGTTACAGATTTTGTAGGTCAAGGATGTTTTATAGAAAGGATGGGTATTCCTGAACCCTGAGGGTAGGCACAGCTGGAAAGACGGAGTGCTTGAGAAAAAGCAAGAGTATGAAATTGGACATCTTTCAGGGGACAGTGGAAAAAAGCAAATTGGACCATTCTCCAGTGGCAACTCTTCTTGGAACTGCCAGATATGTAGCAGACATAGAAGCTGGAAGCTTACACACATATTCTGTGTAGTAGGCTGTGAATCAGTAAGAGCATGTGATACTCTAGCCTCAGATGAACTCTGGAGATGTGTATATGTGCTGAATCATCTAAGCTCAGTTACCTTTGAGAATTCAGAGAACACCAGAAAAAGACGTAAATGAAACTTGCTAATTAAAGATTAAGTTTTCACATTCTATTTATTAAATTCTTATTTGCGAAGTGGGATAAGAGGAAGAGGTTGCAGTTTGCTCCATTTGTACTTAACAGTAAATACCTGTTTCTTTATAGAGTAAGAACAAAAAATTCGTAGTAAAATGTATTTATTGACTTTTATTAATACTTCAGTTTGTATGTGTGCATAGATATACTTTCTCCCTATTTACTCTTGGTTTTTCCCTCAGAAACAATGCAATTGCTTCACTTGACCAGAGAAATATTTTAGCAATGCATGCTTAACTGCAAATTAGTTTTGTATTTTGCATTCTGCAAATTAACCATAGTTAATATTAATAATACAAATGTTGGCTTTTAATGGCACATTTACCGCTCCAATTTATTTTTTTATTCTTACTATTAGGTAGTAGTTGTTCATTATAGAAAATTTGGAAAGTATATAAAAGAAAGAAAAAAATCAAATACATAAATACAGGTATATACATACCGCAAATAATAATGCTCAATTTTAACATTTTGACATTTTTTTCTTTAAGACTTTTTTACATGATTTAGATTATAGGTACAGATAATTTCATGCCCTCCTTTGTCATTAAATATTTAAATAAGCATTTTTCTTAATCTTTCACGTACTGTATTTATTGAAACCAGGATAGAATTCCAAAATGAACATTAAAATAAAATCAGACCTGGTCCCATACCTGACTCCAGCATTAAGTACTTGTCTGTCTCTGAACAAGGTAACTTCTCTGGGCCTCACTTTCTCCATTTGCTAAATGAAGGGATCCATTTATTTAAATGATCTCCAAAATCCTTTTGAGCTTCAAAGGGTACTCATCTGTAGTGTTAATTGTGTATGAAATATTTGGCAGCTTGAATGTTCATTTATAGTTGGTCAGTTGTGTCCCATTGGTAAAGTTAGTATGAACTGGATTACTGTCCTGGTTGTTTTAATTCTTATTTTTTAATGTTTTGTCAACTATGGCCTCATTAGAGTTTATAACCATAGTACAATGAGTAAAGACCCTCAGCTCTGGAGGGTCTTTACTCATAGAACAGAGGTCTCGGCAAAGCGTAACTCACTGAAATAGGGAAGTTGGATGGACGTTCAAGTGCCTATTTGCCTATTGGACTCTTAGGGCATGTTTCAAAATCAGGCCAAATCAAAACTACAAATTACTACCTAACATAGACTTTTGAAGTTCTCACAAATGTGGAAAGCCCCAATGTTGAATTCAGTAATGCCAAAGCTAGCATTTACCTTTAAATCTATACTATGTTCTTGTAAATGTTTACTGAGGTGTAATTGTTAAATTATTTGATGCTATTTAGTTGATATGAAGCTGCTCTGTGATGGTGTTTACTTTTTTGTTAAGCTGTGTTTGCAGTTACGTCACTCTTATTATGTAATACATCTTGAGACCTGAAAGAATCTATAATTTATCTTTTAAAAATATTGTCATAAAAACCAAAACTGTACTAGTGTGTATGGATTTACTTATTTTTTCTTAAAAATGTTTTTTCTAAATGGATTCTATTAACATTGCCATTTACTATAAATATAAATTTTTTAATAAAAGCTTGAAATATAGGTAATTATTAATTTTGGTTGAGGGGGTAAAAATATTCTATGTGGATTATTTTTACTTTGTAGTGTAATTTTCACTAAATTGTATTTAATCTTGAAATAATTTGATATTTAAAAAATTAAACTAAATGTAACCTGAAACAGTGAGGCAAGTGAGACATATTTGAAGAACAGCAAGAAGGGCATGTGGCTGGAGTTGAATAAGATACACAGGAGCTAAATCGCCTGCTGCCTTTAAGGCCATGCTAAGAACTTTGGCTTGGTTAGTTTTAGGACCCATTGGAAGATTTTGATCAACATTATGACATGGTGCCAGTTTGTTTTTGAAGATTTTCACTGGCTGCTCTGTGGAGAATTGTCTTTAGGAAAGCAGAAGTGGGAGCAGGGAGACTAGTGGAGACTTGCCGTCATCTGATGTGGTAGGCCAGTGAGACAGCAGGGCTCTGATGGGCACGATGCTGAGGGAGTCACAGGGTCAGCTTTGGGTTCCATTTGGATTCAGCAATACCTGCTAATAAATTGGATGTCTGTGAGGTATGACACTTACGTAGGTTTTTGGCTAAAAAAACTAGGTGAATGGTTGGTGCCATTTACCAAAGTGAAGATCAGAGAAGGGGCATGTGTAGGCATGGGCAGAGGTGGTAAAATTATGAGATAAAGATCTTTTGAGTTTGGGATGCCTATTACGCAACACATATCCAAACAGAGATGTTGGCTGGCCATACCATCTAAGTTTTAAACTTTATATTGTATTCAGGTAAATATTTCAGTTGTTACTGTCAAGTTGGCTCCAATTCTGGCACCCTTATGAATGAGTGAACAGTCTCATCTTAGGGTTTTAAAGGTAAGAAAGGTAGAGGAAAATGAAGACTGGGAAAGAAAATGCAGTAGTGGTTTGACTTCTGCTGCCCATTAAGTCCTGACATGTGTGCTAAGGTTCGTGGTGTAACAAGTCACCAAATGCCTATGACATGTAAACACCTTGCAGGGAAACATTTCAGTAGTAGTATCTAAAGCTGATAAATTCACTTCTACATGGCCTGTGCCAAATTTAGTAGATTGGTTACATTCTTAGACATATGAATGTAACTCAGTGAGATTTTTAACAATGTAGGGACATATATATTTAAAGTATCACCTTCAAGGTAACTATATACCATTTATCCCTGAAATGTTGGTATTGTAGAAAACATGTTTAGAACATTTCTGTCTAGCAAAACTTTAGTAAACATTATCTGTTATTGGTTATTATAATTTTCTTTTATATACCAAACTGCTGGGGAAAATAAACTAGAAGTGTAGATTTGAATGCAGCCTCAACTCCTGCCCCCTTCTAGTGAGAGTCATCTAAGGGGTCCACACCTGGGTGTGTGGTTGTCTGTAAATAGTGGCCAAAATGGTCCATAGAGTGTAAAACTGTAGTTAGACCAATTTGATTGAAATGATGGGCAAATTCATCATAAAAAGTAAAGTTTTTGTTTTATTTTGCTTTATTTTTAACTAGAGCTTAAATAACAGAAAAAGGAAAAAGTACTAAGCCACAGAATC